CCATTACAGTTAGCCCCCTCTGGTCTGTAGCTACCTTAACTGCAGAAACACGGTCTTATAAATCAGCACGGTCTTGCAAATCATGAACAGTTGTGGGGCTAGGGATAAGGCGAAGAGTTCTTACCATACTGTGCAGAAAGACTTGAAACAAGCAAGCCTTGTGGTGGCAAGACTTGAGGGACACAGAAAACTGGAGCGAGACCCTGTTGCTGACTGGGGGTAAAGTATATAGCAATAATTAATAATGAGGCAGAACACCAAGAATGCATAAATAAACAGAGCGTAGAAGACAGTGGGCAAGCACCACAGGATAAAGGTAAATAACCCAATTAAAAATGAGCACAGGATATGAACAAACTCACCAAAGACATTCAGATGGCAAACAAACACATGAAGAAATGTTCAAAATCCTTAGCTCTAAGAGAGATGCAAAACAAAACAACCATGAGATATCATCTCATCCCACTAAGAATAGCAAAATTTAACAGAACAGCAAACATCAAATGCTGACAAGGTTGTGGAGAAACTGGAACCCTTATTCACTGTTGGTGGGAGTGTAAAATGGTGCAACCACTATGGAAGGCTTTATGGTGCTTTCTCCAAAAGTTGCAAATAGATATGCCATTTGAACCAGCAATTCCACAACTGGGAATTTACCCTAAAGGAACCATAACTGCCACCCAAGCACATATATGCACACACATGTTTACTGCAGCATTGTTTGCAATAGCAAAGGGCTGGAAACAACCCAAGTGCCCATCAACAAATGAATGGATAGAGAAGCTCTGGTATATTCACACAATGGAATACTATGCTACAGTGAAAAACAAGGAACTCGTGAAATATTATGCAAAATGGATCACCCTGGAGGACATTATGCTGAGTGAAATATCTCAGTCACAAAAGGACATATATTGCATAGGGCCACTGTAAAATAGGACTGACATCAGAGTTGAGGAAAGACAGAAAAGAAGGGGAGAAATGATGTATATTGCATTGAAACAGATGAGGGAGAGAACTGCTTAAAAGGGATATATGAATGGGTTTTCTGGTCATTACAGATGTCAAGAGTGATGGTTGCATAGTGAAGTTGACTTGGGGGCGGGGGCAAGGATTGCCTAACAATGAAAGAGTTTTTCTTTTTCTTTTCAAGGAGAAGAGTCAATTTAGGGGAGGGGTTGGGTAGAGAGAAAAGTGCAACAATGAATGACTAGAAACTCTAAGTCTCTGTAAACTTTCATAAAAATTAATTAAAAAAATTAAAAAAGTATGTTGAGTTAAAAAAATATGGGGGGAGCAGAGCCATTTTTGAACAACTGAAACACCACAAGCCGCACCACTCTGTGTATTTACTGAGAATAAGGGGAAGCGAATCATAAAGAGAATTTTCTTGTAAATAAAGCCAGATTTTTCTCTATTGTCAACCTTATGCTTATTTCAAGCGGTGGGTGGGGTGCGGGGGGATTGTGTACCAGGGAGGGAATATTTCTTTTACTTTTGAAAGAGAGGAGCGAACTGGGGGAGTCGGGGGAGAGGGCTGGGCGGGAAGAGAAGTGCAGCAATGAATGAATGGAAATCCAAATTCTCTGTAAATGTTCATTAAAATTATTAAAAGAAAAAAAAGTCAGAACCTAGAGGAAATAGACTACATTGAATCAATAAAATGCAGATTTATGCTTTGAACTAAACAAGAGTTTTGCCTACTTAGTAAATACACCTGCTTTTTGTATTATTTTATTTTAAAGATTTAATCATACTGGGTCAAATCAACAAGAAAATTTAGAAACTTTAGATGAGAAACTTAGGAGGCAAACACTATATGTTAATGGTGGTAGAGTAATTTGGAAAAGAATAGTAAAAAGGGTTCACAACATGAAAAATATAAACTAATCAATGTCACTGAATTATACAATGCATGTACAATGTAGAGTTTGTTAAGACATTGTATCCACTGTGGAACATCATCTCACAAAAAGGAGAAAAAAATTAAATTTACAAAATTTCATTAAAATACTGTAGAACATCCCCAAATAGAATTCTTTATTTCATTGTCTGCTGGATATCCTTTAAAGTGCTAACTTTTAAATCTAGGACTCAGAACATTCATTCTAAAACATCATAAAGGAGGATGTGCATGACCTTTGAACCAAATATAAAGTCATTTAGGTAATGTCTACACCTGATCCTTTGTAAAATGGCACTTACTCTATGTTGGGTGTTAAGGGCCTTCTCTTGCTGAAAAGGTTAATGTATGTATATTGCCTTGATCTTTCCTCAATCTACCTTGAATTTTTCTAAGAAAGCAGATAGTTATAAAAGGGCTTTAGGCCTTGTGTGTGTGTATCCCTTGTATTTAAAAGTCAGTTGGGCCCAATGGTCTAGTGTTATTTTATTTTGGAGGAACATTCTTCTAACTTGTACAGCACTCTTCTGTCAATTTGATGCACTGAGGTAATCTGGGTTTGCTGTGATGCTGAACCATGTACCACAGAGGGGGTCAAATGCTATTATGGCTGCCCATGGTGTACAGTGTTGGGTGGAGCTCCCAGTTTAAGACAGGTTTGGAAGAAGAAATAGCATGCATTTCTTAAACCACATGGCTCTGGAAACTCTATGAACTTGGAGGAATGACGATAGATAGGGAAAAGCTTCAGACCTTTTGTTCATAGTGTCTCTATGAGTGATACTCCACTTGATGGCAATCGACAACAACAATAACTTACAAAAAGCTGTTATTGCTGTTGTATTTTGCCATTGAGTCAAAATCAACTCATAGCTGACTCTCCAATGGGTTTTCAGTTAGTAAATAACATGGGATGACATTGCCCATCTTTCTCCCGAGGAAAAGCTGATACACTTGAACTGAGTCTTTGAGTCAGCAATACATCTCCTTACCACTCGATGACAAGAGTTCCCTTTTAATATAATGTTGTAATTAAGTGCCAGAAAGTTGACTGCATTTCATACGACCTTATGAACAGCAGATCTGAATTTTGTCCTATCTTATGCCATCTTCATCACCCTAGATACACTCAAAGCCACTGTTGCAGTCACTGTATTGATCTATCTTGTTGAGGGTCTTTTCCATTGATTCTCCACTTTCCAAATATCATTTTCCAATAATTAGTCCCTCCTAAAAACATGCCCAAAGTATGTGAGGAGAAGCTTCACCATTCTTGTCTACAAGAAGCACTCTGGTGGTACTTTCTCCAAGACGTATTTGCTTGTTCTTTTGGCAGTCCATGGGATATTAAGTACTCTTTTCTAACACTACAACTCAAGGCATCAATTCTTTTTCTCTTCCTGTTTCTTTGTTGTCTAACTTTCAGATACATGGGATTGAAAAGAACTATGGCTCAGATCAGATACTTCTTAGTCTTTGAATGGATATCTTTACTTCTCAAGCACTTTGAAGAGGTCCTTGACAATAGATTTTCCCAATGCTATATAACTTTTGATTTCTTGACTGTTGATCCCAAGTTTGTTAATGGTGAATCCAAGCAAGATGAAATTGTTGACAACTTCAGACTGTCACGGTATTGCCTATTGGCCAAGTGGTTAGAATTTTTATTTTCTTGATTTCCTTTACAAAGAATAATGGTAAACAAAATAACAAAGTCCAACTAGTTCCTGTAGGTAGATGATTATCATTATAACTTGATGTAAATTTTGATTGATATTCATTTATTCTCCCATTCAATCATTAATTTATGTAAGACTGAATTCATATAGGGAATATGACACAAACTTGTACAGTTGTAAAAAATGCTTTAGCTTAGGTAATGTACTTTAATCTTTCAAGGCTTTGAGCATCCATCTATTTATTTGTTAAAGTACAAAAACTATCACAATAATTTCATGTATGAAATTCAAGCATCTCTTCAGAGGAAGGTAAATAGAACCTGTTGTTGTTATGTGTTAACAAGTTGTCTGTGACTTGTAGCGACCCTATGAATAACAGTTCTGAATCTCACTCTATCCTGAGTCAACCTTACTGTCTCTGGCACACCTAACCCTGTTACCCCAGCCACCGAGTCATTTAATCTCATCAAAGGTCTTTCTCTCTTGCGCTGTCCCTCCACCTTCCCCCAAGAACTGGTTCCTCCTTGCAAAATGTCCATAATATGTCAGACAAAGCTTTAGAATTCTTCCCTCCAAGGAGAAGCCTGATTTCACCCTAAGGACGAACCTGTTTGTTTTCCTAGCATTCCATGGTATATTCAATACTCTTCTCCAGCACCACAGCTAAAAGGTATCAATTATCTTTTTGTCATCCCTAATCATTGTCCAGCTTTCTGATGCATAGCAAGTAATTGCGAAGACCACGGCCTGTATCATCTCCAAACTGACATCATTGCTCTTCAGTATTTTTTCATAAAAGGAAACACTTGCTAGGCTTTAGAACAAAACCAAAATGCCTAGGAATATTTTTGGCTCTGTTGTTGTTATTGATTGCCTTCAAGTCGAGCATGACCCATAGCCACCCTATGAACAAAAAAGCCTGAAGCCCCTCTACAACTATCGACATTTATCAAAGTTCATGGAGTATATAATATTTTAAAAGGTACTACTGATGTTTGTTCTAATATGTTGGGCTCATTGTATTTTTTTTTAAACAACCAACGTCTTTAATTAGAAAGCAACAAACATGCAAATGGCAAGTATAGAAATTTTATTTGAACTAACATTTTCACTATAATGAAAATGACTCTTCAACATTGATCCAAGCTCCCACATCTGAAGGTTAGGGGAAATATTGCACTTTGCATTGTCTAGCACTCCTCATTCACGGCAGTTTTTAAAATGGTTTGCTGATCTTGTTTTACACACACTCCCAAATTCATGCACACAATCGCTCCAAACCAATGTTAAGTTATCCCATAAAAAAGAGGAAAACTCAAAAAAACCAAAACCTTAAAATTGCACTAAAGCTCTGTAAAGGGAAAAAAAAAGTCTTATACAAATTCCAGGACATCTAAGTGCTTGACAACAAGAGCTGATTATTCTTCATCTTCATTCTCATTTTCCTGGCCAGAGCCTTCTGATCTGTCACCCTCCAAGCGATCAGCTCGGATATGATTCAACATCCTCAACATGAAAGAGGTTGGAACTGTAATGGTGTTTCTAGTCTCTTCGAGCATGAGTTCATTTCGAGTTATAACTTCATCAGCAAGTTTCCGGTTAAAAATTCTTGACTCTTCTAGTGGTGACCAGATCTTTATGTCATAATCTATCCCAGATGAGGCCAGAATTGGGTCAAATGGATGCGTCTGCAGGCAGTTCACCACACGATTATCAGCTTCCAGAAGCATCAAATGCTCAGCAGTGTGGCGATCCCAGATGAAGATATGGCCACAGTCAGAACCACTCATTAAAAAGTTAGTACCCCAGAAATTGGCTTCTTTAATCATCGTCCTGGAGTTGCGATGTCCCTTATATACCATCTTTACTAGTGGCCTTCTAATACTCAAAGTATCCAATTCTTCCATTTCTTTCCTTTCTTTTCTTTGCCTGAAGAATTCCTGAATGCGGGCAACAGCAGAGTATCTATCACCAGGTCCTGCTGGGTACCTTGCCCCTGGGATTAGGACTGGGTCATTGTACTTTTGAGGCTTGCTGTCATATGTATTCTAGAATAAGCTTGCCAGCTCTGAGGGTCTAGTGGCAAGAAGCTGCATTGCAATCCTAAAGGCATGTGGTTGGAATCCATCAGATGCTCCACTGGAGAAGAAGGGGCAATCTCCTCCTGTGCCAGTCGGATACGATTAGATGGTACACAATAAGAAAAAAAGAGTGAAAAAAATACTATAATAAGCTGTTATTGTCATAAATAGAGAAGATGTTTTATACCTCAGTATTTTACTCAGTTGGTTTTCTAATTTCTTCTACCTGTATTCCTCAGTCTATTAATTAATGTTGCATATTATTTTTTAAAAAAATTTAAAGGCCTTAAACAGAATAATCTGTATAGATTTTTAAAAAATCCATATGCATAAGTTTACTGTGAGGTAGTATTTGCTTTTTTTTGCAGTTCATGGGAAATTTTTATTTTTTTTCTTAATTGATAGATTTATTGAAAATATAGAGTAATAGACTTATGCTCAAATCTCATTGTGGCTATGTGCTGACTTCCATAAAACATACAATAAAGGATTCTTCCCAGGGGCACTCTGGACATAAATGAAAAAGTAAAAAGAAGTGACTGCCAAGACAGTATTGTTTCAGACACAGTTCTCTTATAATTAATGATTACTAGAAAATTAAGTTTGACATTATTTCCTGGATGTTGAATATCACAGGCATAAAGATATTATAAAATCACAAGAAAAGCTTTCATTCTTCCTAGTTTTATATTTTAGCTTTACAGGTTCAGAATAAATTGTTTTTAATAAGTTGAACTTTTAGATCCATTCAATCCAAGATATTCTTATGTCTTTCTGAGTCTACTTATTTGTAAACGGGAATGGAAACATGAACCAGGGTCTTCATTTCACATGTGTTGCCAAATCATTATATGCTATCTAATTTCTATAAGATAAAGGGAGTGACTTGAAGGTGAGCCGCATGGATGAGAAAGTTGTCTACGGATGAGATAAATCCTTGCTCATCTTTTAAAAAAATTTTGTTTGGGTTATTTTTTTTTATTTCCATTCATTCATTGTTGCATACTTTCCTCCCTGTCCACCCCTCCCCTCCCAGATTGTTTTTCTCTTTGAGAAGTAAAAAAAACAATTCTTTCATTGTTAGTAATTGATTTTAAGATTTGTTTTCAGGAAGACCTTAGGTCACAATCTAACATAATCAAAACAACAAATTATGATCAATACTGTTGTTGTTGTTGTTGTTGTTGATTACCTTCGAGTCGAGCACAACTCATAGCGACCCTATGAACAAAAGGCCTTATGCCCCTCTACAACTATAGACATTTATCAAAGTTCATAGAGCTTCCAGAGGCATGTTTAGGAAGTGGATGTTGCTTCTGCTTCCAAACCTGTCATACAATGTTATTGGTTGAATCGCCTGTGATGTATAGCGACCCTTATGTAAGCAGCTCTGAACCCTTCCTTGTCCTGAGCCAGTCTCACTAATTCTGATATAACAACCTCCATCACTCCAGTTACTGTATCAATCCATCTCATCCGGGGGTCTCCCTCTCCTGTGCTGTCCATCCACACTTCCAAACATCATGTCCTTGTCCAAAGACTCATCTCTCCTTGCCATGTGCCCAAAGTAAGTGAGCTAGAGCTTCAAAATCTTAGCCTCCAAGGAGAGACTTGGTTTTACCCTCTCCAAGACAGACTGATTTATTTTCTTGGCAACCCATGGTGAGTTCAAGACTCTTCTCCAGCACTACAACTCAAAGACATCTTTTCTTCTGTCATCCTTAGTCATTGTTCAACTCTCTGAAGCATAACAAGTAAATGAGAAAACCGTGGCTTGGATTAGGCACACCTTTGTCTCTAGACTGACATTGTTGCTCTTCAGCACTCTGGAGAGGTCCATGACAGCAGATTTTTCCCAATGCAATTAATCTTTTCATTTCCTGACTGTTGGTATTATGAGTGTTGATTGTGGGTCTGAGCAAGCTGTAATTGTTAACAACTTCAGTCTCATCTCCATCTAATAAGGTGCTGCCAGTTGGCCCATGGTGAGAATCTTTGTCTTCTTGATGTTGAACTTCAACCGATATTTAAGACTACAGTCCTTGATCTTTTTCTGCAAGTGCTTAAGATCTTCTTCAGTTTCAGCAAGCAAGGTTGTGTCATCTGCACATTGTAGAGCAGCTCTTGATTCAGATGATTTATGGCTGCATTCCCCTTTTGAGTGTGATTGTTATTGTTGATATGTGCCATCAAGTTGGAAGTCATCCATAGCTGACCATTTGGCAGGTTTTCAAAGGTAGGTAATCGTACAGGAAGAAGTTACCCATCCTTCTCCTACTTTGTATGTGGTAGGTGAGGGCAATAAGTGGAATACTCTTCTCATTATTTCTGAGTAATGTAATGTAATGTAATGACTGTAACATAATCAAAGGGTCATGTCTAATAATAAAATAACTTGGAAATATAGGGTATTTTTTCTGAGTAGTCAAGCTCTATGCTAAACATTTTTCAAAGTGGAGATAAACAGAAAAAGAGAATATCTTGAAGACCCTATTAATTATGTGATCAAAGAAAATCATGAACTGAACTCTAGAGTGAAGCTCACACTTAACACTGAAATTCTCTTGATCTCTATTTGAAGATTTGGAAGCAGGAGTGGCATCCACTTCCTAAACAACATGCCTCTGGAAACTCTCAGAACCTTGATAAATGTCAGTAGTTGTAGAGGGGCTTCAGACCTTTTGTTCGTAGGGTCACTATGAGTTGTGCTTGACTTGAAGGCAATCAACAACAACAATTTGAAGATAGTTTACTCCACACTTTATCATCCCTTTATGGATATCTATCTATTCATGCAATCCACAGATGAAACCCCTCTGGTGGTTTGAATAAAGCAGTAAGTAGCTTCATGGGGAGTGGGGGGGGGTGGTGATAAAATGGGAAATCTCTTCTTGTTCAACTTGTTGTTAAGTGTCATTACGTCGTAAATGACTCATAGCAACCCTATGAACAAAAGACCTGAACACTTGTATAACTTCCATCACTTCTCACGTTCACAGAGTTTCCGGAGGCAAGCTATTTCAGAAGTAGACGCCACTCCTGCTTCCAAGCTTGTTTTAATCAGGGAGCTCCACCAAACACTGTCCACCAGGGGTAACCATTATCACATTTGACATATCAGTGTTATAGTTTTTAGCATCACAGCAACCATGCACAGCAACCTCTGTACAGCAAATCGACAGATCAGTGTTATACCACTTAGAAGAATGACCAAAACCAATTAAAACCAAGCCTGAGGGCAGCAGATTAAAATCACCCACCTTTGGCTTGATAGCATAACTTTCTATACACCAAGCCAACAGAGCTCTCTCTATCCTGTTAAGTGCCATTGAGAGATACAACTCATAGCAATCCTATGAATGAATGACCTGGATCCTTGTTTAACTTTCATCATTTCTCTATGTTCACAGAGTTTCCAGGGGCAAGCTATTATCACCCTGAAAACCTGCTGGAAGCTCAGCTATGGGTTGGTTCTGACTTGGCAGGGTTGTTGTTATGTGCCCTCAAGTTGCTGTGACTCATAGCGACCCTATGTACAACAGCTCTGAACCCTACTCTCTCCTGAGTCAACCTTGTTGTCTCTGACACACCTATTTCTATTACCCCAGTCACTGAATTAATCCATCTCATCTGGGATCTTTCTCTCCTGTGCTGTCCCTTCACTCTCCCAAGCATGATGTCCCTCTCCAAGGACTGGTAGGAACCTCCTTACAACATATTCTAAGTACGTTAGCCAAAGCTTCAGAATCCTTGCCTCCAAGGAGCAGCCTGGTTTCACCCTCTCCAGGACTAACCTGTTTGTTGTTCTCTTAGAAGTCCATTGGAATATTCAATACTCTTCTCCAACACCATAGCTCAAAGGCATCAATTTTCCTTCTATCATCTCTAGTCATTATCCAGCTTTCTGATGCATAGCAAGTAATTGAGAAGACTATGGCCTGGATCAGGCACATCTTAGTCTTTAGATTGATGTTGTTGCTCTTCAGTACTCTGGAGAAGTCCCTGACATGGGTTTGAGTTTTTTAATGTTGATCTATGCAAACAGCTCTGTCATATACTAGAAACTGTATGGTAGTGAGACTTGAGACTGCAATTTGGAAACCTGTCACTTTTATGTTTCTTAGTCCAGAGACCACATTTATTTCTGTGGTTTGGTATGCTACTTTTTCTCTCTCTTACACTCTTCAAATTCCTGTCTTTAAGTCCTCACATTCTAAGACAATTTTATCCAAACTCCTTATGACCACTGACTGAACTTCCAAACAAAAAAGTATTTTTGTAGTTTGCTTTGGAATTTTTATTTTGTTTTGTTTTGAGGATGAATTTTTAGGTCCCACTAGTATTAAGAAAATTAAAGTCATTAAACTGAATGTCACAAATTGGCAAGTGTAGGCTAGAGTAAATCCAGAGATATATTTTGCTTGGATCACGGTTTTGTTTTTATTTTTTAAATAATTTAGGTTTTACATTATTATTAAATTAAATTATTGATATTTTTTAAAACTCATTTTTATGGGTTGTTATGAAAAATTGAAGGTATGTGGAAACTGTGAGTCTGTATTTTTGTATGATTGGAGTTCTATAGCAGTGTGCAAGACTTCTCAGTTGTCTTGTGTATCATGCTCATAACTGATAGGTTGGCAGTTTGACACAACCAGCTGCTCAGAGGTTCCTCTCATCAAGATGTATAGCCTTAGAAACCTGATGAGGGGATCACTTTTTGTGGCTGCTTGCCATCAAGTTGGTACCAGTTCGTAGCTGATCCTCCAGTGGGTTTTCAGAGACTATTAATTAGAGGAGATTGCCCATCTTTATCCCATGGATAAAGTCGATTTAAACTGAGTGCTTTTGGAATTGCAGTGCAGCTTCTTACCACTAGGGCCCCAGGGCCCCCTGAATGGTCACCATAAGTTGGAAATGACACAATGACAATGGGTTAAAATTAAAAAATGAACACCCAAACCTCTGCCATTGGGTCGTTGTTGTTAGGTGGCCTTGAGTCAACTTTAGTGACCTTGTGAACTAGAGATCTAAACCTGGCCCAAACCTGAGCCCGCCTCACCACCCATGATGTATTTGAGTCATCATGTCAATCTAACTCATTGAGGGTCTTCCTCTCTTTTGATTACCCTTAGAACCATGATTACCAGTCGTGGTACTAGGGATATTGTAGCTGGTGTGAGATGGATCTTGGCTGAAAGCAGGGAATACCAGAGGAATGTCTATCTGTGTTTCATTGATCACAATAAACTGTGGCTAACTCTGAGAAGAATGATTGTGCTTATGCAAAACCTATACTTCGACCCAGGAGACCATCATCACAACAGAGCAAGGGAACACTGCATGGTACTTGGACCTAGCCTCAGATAACTGAAGTTGTGTTGGCTGGAACTCAACTGGATGAAGAGAAGATGCTTCATTTTGAAAACTAGTGCTGATTACAGTTACCTGATAGTTTGCTCTGGACTAAACCTTTGTATATATGGATGCAGATGCTGAAATTTCAAATGTAATGGAAAATTCTTCAGAGAAAAAGACATGTTTATCTCCTCATAGTACTGATTTGATAAGCATGGGCAAATTAAAAATTGACTATCTAAAATGGGGAGGAGTAAGACATAAGGTTGTAAGCAGGAGTGGCATCCACTTCCTAAACAATAGGCCTCTGGAAACTCTATGAACTTTGATAAATGTTAATAGTTAGTCCATAGTTATAGAAAGGCTTCAGGCCTTTTGATTAGAAGGTGGCTATGAGTTGTGCTTGAGTCGAAGGCAATCAACAACAACAAGGCATAAGGAGTAAGGATGTCTTACATATTTCTCTAAGTATTGATGATGGTAAAGGGAAGATTGATCCTTCAGATAATAAGAGATAATGGCTAGAAAGGCCAGGGAGTGGTCTGGGGTATCAGAACTCTTGGAAATTGACTTTTATAGCATTATGTTAACTCTTGTTGGCTGAAGGGGTATGGTCTTCAGCTATATTAACTGCAGATGCATGGTCTTGCAAACATTGACAGCTGTAGGACAAGGATAAGAGAGAGAGAATGACTCTCACACTGAATAGCATGACTTGTGGGACACTTGAGCAAGATCCTAGTGAGAGCAAGACCCTGGTGGCAAGACCTTGATGATGGTAGTGGATAGACTGTGGCACTGCTGTGAAGAAACTGGCAAGGTATAACAAGAAGAGCCTTGAGATAAAGGCCACAGTTAAAAGTTTTTGCTATTGTTGCCAGATGATTAAAGGAAGAACTGAGTACTAAATTGAAACCAGAACCTGGACTAATAAAGGAATTGTGTCTTGAGACCACTGGACTTTGTTTTGGGACTAACCTGGATTTACATTAGGTGATATTCCTTGCTTCCCTCACTTTTCAACTTGTTTTCCTGATAATCCTCATTCTCTACGACAACTATAATTAAAATCTGTCCGTCAATAATGAATAAAAGGACTTCTTGCTGTTGAAATGGCTCCAGAAGTACAATGGAGTTGGATTATGACTCTATGTGCTTTCTGCTTTGGGGTAGTGTGAGGCTGTGCTGTTCTTTCTTACTTCTTGCCTTTTTAGAAAGATGCTATGACCTTATCCCCCATGTTCCATTTTCTACTTATTTCACAACTCCTTAAAGGGAATTCCATGAAATGTGTCAACTCTTAAACTTATATTCTCAGACTCAGACTATTTTCAAATCCAAGATTTCATATATCTGCAGCATTGTTGCTATTGTTGTAGTCAGGTGCCGTTGAGTCGCCTGTGATTCATAGAGGTCCTATGTACAATAGTTCCAAATCCTGTGTTATTCTGAGCCAATTACACTTACTCCAACAGACCTACTCTCATTACCTCAGTTACTGTGTAAATCCATCTTGTATGGGCTCTTCCTCTCCTGAACTATCCCTCCACCTTTCCAAGAATGATGTCCTCCTCCAAAAACTGGTCCCTCCTGGCCACATGTCCAAAGTGTGTGAGATAGAGCATGGAAAACAATAACTCTCCAAAGACAGCTGTTCTTCAAACTCCAGAGAGTAAATAGATAACCTAAAAAAATAATGAATTAAGGTCTAATTTAATAAATCCTTAAGAGTGGAATAGGAAGGAAGAAAGGAATGGCGAGAAAGAAGACATTAGAAACATAAAAAAGAACTTGCTCTGTTCTTGCTAGCTTTGAAGGTGGAAAAGGTGGACATGAACCAAACAATCTGAGTGACCTCTAAAATTTGAGAATGGTAATCAGCTGACAGCAAAGAGATTGTGTTACCACCATTGAAAGAGACTAAATTCTACAGCAAACAAATTCTTTACCCTACATCTTCCAGAAAGAAATGTGGTCTTGTGGTCATCTTGATTTTAGTCCCTGAAGGAACTAAGTCAGTTTTTTGACCTATAAAACTATTCGATAATAAATTTGTACTGTCTAAAGCCAGTAAATGTGTGATAATTTGTTACTGCAGTAGTAGAAAATGAGTACAATATACAAATGTCAAGTTATTCTCTCCATTTGGATATTGCATAGACATTTGAACTTCATTCAACCACATCTCCCACAAGACCTGCTTGATGCACACACTTCAACACTTAGCTAATGACAGTTTTATTTTCTAATTGTTCAGGACCCAAGTCTTAAAAGTCATGTTTGCTTCCTCTGTTTAATTTTACAGTCAAACTGCTAGGGATTCATATGAGTCCTCTCTTTATATATGTATTTCACCTTTGCCAAAATAACTTCCTATATTACTTAGATTTATTATTATTTGCTTGTACTAACAAATCTGACTCATAATGATCCCAAGTGTTCCAGAGTAGAAGTGCTTTATAGGGTTTTCTTAGCAGTAATCTTTCTGGAAAGGAGATCTGGCTACATAGTGGTTAAGTGTTTGGTTGGCTGCTATCCAAAAGTCCTATAGTTTGAACCCTGTAGCTGCTCCATAGGAGAAAGACATAACAGTCTGCTTATGTAAATTTATACTCTTGGAAACTCTAGGGACAAACTTCCTCTGTTCTACAAGGTATTTATGAGTGGAATTGAATTGTTGGCATATAATAACAGCAATATGGGATTTAATTGTAGGCTCCCCCCCAACAGTGCCATTGGATGATTTGTATAGACAACCATTGGGCTACCAACGTAGTGCACACTGTTTCTGTCACCAGGAATCCTAAAGTTTATAGAACTAACTTTCTTTGAAATCCTATGTAAGTCACACTGCTCTCTCCCTTTTTTCCCCTGACTTCACCTCTAGCCAGTTGCCACCACATTCACTGTGCTCTAGACAAAGCTCTCCAAAGCAAGTACTCTCCCACCATAAGGTCAGGGTCATTCATTTATTTCCTCTTTTTAAAATATTCTTTCCTCAGCCCCCACTTTCTGCCCAATATCAGGATTAATTCCTTTTTCCCCTTTATGGTATTCGTCAAATAGCAATCTCCTGATGTGTCCTAATCTACCTATTTAATACAAGTATCTGTTTCTTTCTTCGTTTTTTAGCTAATGTAATTACTTTGTTATTTTCCTCTGCATCTATAGTGCTTAGTTTCTAAATATTATAGTAACTTAGTTATTAGGCTTATTTTTAATAACTTCCTTTCCACCAATCTATGACGAGAAATTTGTAAGAAAACTTCCTAGTCAGTTGACTGGAAGAGATCTCTATTTGTTCTCATTCCCAAAGAAGGGATCCAATAGAATGTGGAAATAATCAAGCATTATAATGAGGGAGCTCTGGTGGCCTAGTGGCAAGATGCTGAGCCACAATCCCAAAGGCATGTGGTTCAAGGACACCAGTTCCTCTGCAGGAGAAGGATGGGCAATCTCCTCCCATATGATTAACAGACTCTGTTGGTTGGTTGTGACCATGGTACACAACAAGAACAACAACAGCAACAACATCATTAATATAATATGCAAATAAAATTCTGAAGATTTCTTTTTAAATGGCTAGAACAGAACTTTGAGAAGAAAGTGCCAGAAATTCAAGCTCAATTAAAAGAGGACATTGAATGAGAGACATAATTGCTAAAGTTCCATTAATCTTGGCTGAAACAGAATAACAGAAAGATGTTTATCTATGTTCTATTGACTATGAAAATTCATTTGACTGTGTGAATCACAGCAAATTATGACTAACAGTGAGAAGAACAAAAATCCCAGAACACTTCATTGTGCTAATGCAAAATCTATACCAAGGTCAAGAAACTATTATTTGAGCAGACAAGAGAACACGTCATATTTTAAAATAAGGCAGATGTATGTCAGGATTGTATTCTTTCTCCATAGCTATTCAATCTATATACTGAACTAATTATTCAAGAAGATATATTATATGAATGTCTATTATAATATAATATATTGTAATTTATATTATAAGAATGTGTATTATAAGAACGTCTATAATATGTTACTATTATATATAATATACTATATATAATATAATATACAATATTATATATGATCATATATAATATTGCATTATATGTGATCATATATAATATAATATAATATAATTATAATGTATATTATAAGAATGTCTATCTATGTTTCATTGATTATGCAAAGGCGTTTGACTGTGTGGATCATAACAAACTGTGGCTGACTCTAAGAATGGGAATCCCAGAACATTTAATTCTGCTAATGCGAAACCTAAACTTGGACCAAGAGGCAGTAGTCAGAACAGAGCAGGGTAACACTGCATGGTTCAAAATTGGGAAGGACGCACGCCAGGGATGTGTCCTATCTCCATACCTTTTCAACATGTATGCAGAGCAGATTATCCAAGAGGCTGGGCTCTATGAGGAGAAGTGTGGCATCAGGATTGGTAGAAGATCTATTAACAATCTGCGTTATGCAGATGACACACCCTGCTTGCCGAAACTGAGGAGGACCTCATGCACTTGCTGCAGAGGGCAAAGGACTGCAGCCTTCACTATGGACTGAGGCTCAATGTAAAGAAGATAAAGATTCTCACCACTG